GGATAGAGCTAGAGAGTATCATGCTAAGTGAAATCAGTCAGAAAAAGACAAATATCATATGATTTCAGTCATATATGGAATTTAAGAAACAAAACAAATGAACAAAGAAAAGAAGAGAGAAATTTAAAAATCGACTCCTAAATACAGAGAACAAATTGGTGGTTGCCAGAAAGCAGGTGGGTGGGGGCTGGGTGAAATAGATAAAGGGGATTAAGGGTATCTTTATCCTGATGAGCACTAAGTAATGTATAGAACTGTTGAATCATTACATTGTACATCTGAAACTAGTATAACACTGTATGTTAATGATACTTGAATTTAAAAAAGAACATTTCTCCAAAAAGGTGAAAACAGCTTAATACATATTTTTCAATTAAAAATACTAGTTTTATATGTTAAAAAAAAAAACACTATGGGAGTAAGGAGTGCATGCAGAGAAGGGGCAGCAGTGTGGACATAGCTCCTTGGAGCTCATACTAATGAGAATGCCCATGAAACAAATCATAAGATGAAGATTGAAGAGCAGTTAAAGAGCAACAGGTAGAGAATATGACCCTGAAACCTATGTCCCTGGAAGGAAACAAACAAGAGTCTTTTATCACAATTGCTCAGTGGGGTGGCTTAAAGAGGAAAGAAAATGTTTGTTTGGGGCCTAAGTACAGTTCTGTTGAGTTTTGTGATGAGTACCATTAGACTTTTGGCTTTACCACATGACCTTCTCCAGACCTTCATATGTTTTACTGTATTCTGGAAAACATTTATCTTCTGTTGAAAAGGGAACTAAAAGATCTAGAGGACATATTTCTGTGAAATATTCTGGGCAAAAGGAAAGAAATCTTTATTTGTTCAATTGATCCTGGAAAACATACGGGGCTTGACGCTGTATTGAAAAAGGACAAAAGAAAATTTTATAAAATAGTTCTTTAAGATTAAAGTTGGAACCTGGGAGGCATGTTGAAATCTGAAGATTTAAGGTTGGACCAATATCACCTATATTTTGCTGTGGTGTCAGAACTTCCTAGTCCCCTTGATATTACAGCTGAATGGGTGAAGAAAGTGATGTGTGCACAATCACAAACTGTTGATTCTGTTCCCCCAGAAACCAGGCCTTGAACGTGGTTTTTATAAAATTTAGAGATGACACCACTCTAGTTATTATCTTTGTTTCCAAAATGTTTGCAGTTGATGCTAAGACTTTAATTCAAAATAAACCAAGACCCCTCACTGAAGAGGAAATACAAATGAGAGTAGACCAAATTCACTAATATGGGTGCACTTACTAGAACTTCCAGATATAATGTGTTAGTTTGTATAGCTCGAGTTACCTCAGCTTACTTGCTTGGATGCATGAAACCTGGACTCAGTGGTTGCCTACCTTTAATAACGTGGAAATGTCACAGCTTCCCTGGTATGATATGGAAGAAGAAATCTAAAGGCTTTGAGTAACCAGAATATTGGAGTAAATTTACCATATGCAATCTGCATATCCACCCTACTCCTAATAACATCACTTCTATGGCAGATAAAGTCTAGTCAGAAGGCAGAAAACACATCAGCAATTTGAACAGGGGAATTTTATTATATAGAATTATTAACTAGTGGGATGCCTAGGTGGCTCAGTTACAGGACTGAGCATCCAACTCTTGATTTCAGCTCTGATCATGGTCTCACTGTTTGTGGGATTGAGCCCCTCAGCACACTTTGCACTAACAGTGAGGAGTCTGCTTGGAAATTCTCTTACCCACTCTCTCTGCCTCTTCCCCACTCATGCTCACATATGTGCTCTCACTCTCTCTCTCAAAATAAATAAACTTAAAAAAAAAGAATTATTAACTAGTAACAGAATATGAACTGCTAAGAGAGACAGACCTCTAAAGAATACAAAATAGCAGTGTTTTCACTCATGCAGAATTTGAGAAACTTAACAGAAGCCCATGGAGAAGAGAAGGGGAAAAAACAGTTTCAAATAGAGACAAAGGCAAACCATAAGAGACTCTTAAATACAGAGAACAAACCGGGGGTTGATGGGGAGGGGGCGATGGAAGAGAGGGGAAAATGGGTGACAGGCATTGAGGATGACACTTCTTGGGATGAGCACTGGGTGTTGTATGTAAGCGATGAATCATGGGAATCTACTCCCGAAGCCAAGAGCACACTGTATACACTGTATGTTAGCTAACTTGACAACAAATTATATTTAAAAACAAAACAAAACAAAAGGAAACAATCAGCAAAACTAAAAGGCAAACCATAGAAGAAGGTATTTGGTGAATCTGTCAGGATAAAGGTTAGTAACTATAAAGAACCTCAAACCTTCAACATCCTAAAACAAATAATCCAGTGAAGAAATGGGCAAAAGAAATGAATAGACACTTCTCCAAAGAAGACATCCAGACACCAACCACATATTAAAAAATGCTCAACATCACCATCATCAGGGAAATACAAAATCAAAAAACCACAATGAGATACCACCCTCATTGAATGGCTAACATTAACAACTCCAGGCTAAATAGATGCTTTGGCGAGTAGATGTGGAGAAAAGATGATCTCTTTGTATTGTTGGTGGGAAGCTGCGCAGCCAATTTGAAAACAGTATGGAGGTTCCTTAAAAAACTAAAAATAGATGTCTATATATATGTATATATATATATATATATACAATGGAGTATGACCTGAAAGCAATCGTGAAACTTGCCATTTGCAACTACGGATGGAACTGGAGGAAGTTAAGTGAAATTAGTCAGAGAAGACAAAAATCATAAGGATTCTCACCCATATGAGACCTTTAAGAGACAAACAGGATGAACATAAGGACGGAAGCAATAATATAAAAAACAGGGAGGGGGACAAAACACAGAGACTCCTTAAAATATGGAGAACAAACAGAGGGTTACTAGAGGGGTTGTGGGATATGGGGGAGGCGGGCTAAATGGTTAAGGGAATTCATAATCTATTCCTGAAACCACCATTGTTGTAATCATATGTTAATTTGATATAAATAAATTAAATTAGATAAAAGAGTTGGTACAGAAAGAAAGAAAGAAAGAAAGAAAGAAAGAAAGAAAGAAAAAGAAAGAAAGAAAATGGGACTTACATGGCTGGGTGTAGGGAGAGCAAGGATATAGAAACCACAGGGAGCTGGCACATCACTCTCTTCCCAGGCCAGGGCTCCCCTGGTGAAGGCACTTCGTTGTGCAGCCTGCTGATGCATTTCTGGCTGTGGGCAGGCCACTGTTGGAAGGGCTCTAGTCCCACATAACCAGAGTTGGCGAGAGGAGAGAGTTTACCACAATGTGGTTTGCTGTTATTTGGCAAGGCAGCCTTGTGAGGGCCCAATGTTTTGCAGTTAATTACAGCTGACTGCCTTGCTTATAATACTAGGGTCCCAGCTTATTGAAAGGCTCTAGAGGTGGAAGAAACTCATGGACAGGCAGGTAGAGAAAGGCCTCTTCCACCCACATCACTGCCTGGTATCCTAGGAGCCCACCCTTTAAATAAATATGGCCTCTGTAAGTCACTGGCTAAAATTCCCCCCAGTTAGGATTATTGCAGTGAGCACATAAAAATAACTTTCAGAGCTGCCGAAGTTTAAATGTTGCCTATATTCACCTCCCTATGTCTGTGCCTCTTAACAAATGCCTGAAGACCTCCTTAAAAATTGACCTAAATCACAAAACTATATTAAAGAGGCATTGCAACTATCAAATAGCAAAGCAATAATAATAGATACTGTCATCTGCAAATAATGATAAACCTGTCTTCCTCTCCATCACTATATCCCCTTTTTAATATTCATGCCCTATTGCACTGGTTTATTTGACTTATCTGAACATTAAATAATGCAGCCCTAACAGGGGAAAAAAAAGAATATTGAAATAGCAGATGTATGGAGTAGCCACTTACTGTAGGGCACAGGTACAGTACTAAAATAAAGGTAAACTTGGAAGACAGTCTCTCTCTTCCAACCTCATTCACCCAAGGCTGAACTTCAGACTTTGTTGGAGAGGAGGTGGCTGTTGCCCACTGTCTGGCAAAATGCTAACTGAGGTATCACAGGTCAGGCTGGCAAATAGAAAACATGCCAGCTGGAGTGCCAGGAAAAGTTGCTGGAAACCTCCGAGCTAGGGTGCCAGTAAAATTAGCTAGAAAGCCACCCACTGCTGTTTGGGTAAAACTTACTAATAAGGTCCCTGCTGGGATGCCCATGAAACCCACTAGAATGGGTGTACTACTAGTTCTCCTGAAAAGAGCCCATGGAGAAGCAGCCAGCTGGTGACAAAGCTACCCACTGGCAACCACGGCATAAGAGCAAGAAGAAAACACCAGAAACAGAAACAGAAGCCCTTTCCTCTTCCAGGGATTCTCCAAGATCCTCTGCTGACAAAGTCTAACACTGTGCCAACTGGCAAAGGAGAAGAGGGTGAATTCATAGAGCTGAAAGGCATAAATTGATAACCTGCATAGTTGGGGATAAAATGAAATAAAATTGGCCATGAGGGGATGACTGCTGAAACTGAATAATAGATGCACAAGATTATTATGCTATTCTGTCTATTCTATATATTTGAAACTTCCCATAATGTTTTCTTATTTTTGTTTTCCTAAAAACATAGGCTCTGGGGTCAACCTGCTTGACTTCAAATCCTGGCCACTTACCAGCCAACTATTTTGAGGCTCTGTTTCCCCATGTGTAATTGCAATACCTAGCTCATTAGAGGTATAGACAGGATTAAAATAGGTGTGATATGCAAAATGATTAGAGTAGAGCTGGTATGTAGTAAGTTCTCCATAAATCTTAGCTATTATTGCTATTTGTATTATTTATACTGGTGCTGAGAGTTTTAATTTTTAAGAGACATAATATTAGCATCACACCATAAAAATAAACGTGTAAAAATAAGAGTTGGTAATTCATAAGAAATGATTCTACGGAGTCAGGTGGTTTGACCTTTAGAATGATCTGTTGTATATTTGTCCTGGAAGGAAGAGTAACTTACCTTATCTTTTATTTTGTCAGCTCTAGCATCCAAAGGCTGGTTTTTGTTTTGTTCCTGATTACATTTTCGATTTCCTCCACCTGAGCTTATACTTTTACTTTGTCCCACAGAACTTGAAGCAGTAGTGGATAGTACAGGTGTGTTGATACCAGATACAGATGATGTAGTGTTTCCATTTATTGACCCATTTACACCTTGAAAATAAAAATAAACATGTTTATACAAAAGAATATTAATCAGTCATAAGAAGGAATGAAGTAATGATATATGCTACAATATGAAGGACTCTCTAAAACATTATGCTAAGTGAAAGAAATCAGACCCAAAAAGTCACATATTGGATGATTCCATCTGTATGAAATATTCACAATGGGTAAATCCATAGAAACAGAGCACAAGTTAGTGGTTGCCAGGGTCTGGGGGAGGGAAGAATGAGGAGAAACTGCTTAAGGGGTATGGAGTTTCCTTTTGGAGTGATGAAAATGTTTTGAAACTAGATAGAGGTAGTGGTTGTTCAGTACTGTGAATACATTAAATTTCACTGAATTATTCACTTTAAAATGGTAACTTTATATTTATCTGAATTTCACTTCAATTAAAATAACGTTTAGAAATATAATTAAGAATGAAGTCTTGCCATTTGCAACTACGTGGATGGAACTAGAGGGGATTATGCTAAGTGTAATTAGTCAGCCAGAGAAAGACAAAAATCCTATGACTTCACTTATATGAGGACGTTAAGAGACAAAACAGATGAACATAAGGGAAGGGAAACAAAAATAATGTAAAAACAGGGAGGGGGACAAAACAGAAGAGACTCATAAATATGGAGAACAAACTGAGGGTTACAGGAGGGGTTGTGGGAGGGGGAGATGGGCTAGATGGGTAAGGGGCACTAAGGAATCTACTCCTGAAATCATTGTTGCACTATATGCTAACTAATTTGGATGTAAATTAAAAAAAATTAAAAATAAAATTAAAAACAAAGAAAAAATAAATATAATTAAATGCAAATATTTCCCCTTTCAGAGCAAACCCACTGACAACTCTTACTCAAGTAAAAAAAGATAATAATAAACCATCTAAAATGCTATTATAATTTGCAGATGCTCTTCTAGCAACAGTTATCAACTACAGCAATATTAAAAATCAGTTAAAAGAAAAAAGGAGGACTTGGATATTAATTTTGATGAATTTAATGCTGAATTACAGAAGAAGTAATATCTTATTTTGGGTTACACAAAAGAGGTAATGAGATACAGAGGAAAAAGCAGTGGAGCTGGGAGTTAGAAGGCCTGGGTTCAAGTCCTGCCCATGCCACATTTACATGTAAGTGGTCCTTGAATCATTTATTTAAACTTGGATGAGAAATGAGAATACTTCCAATCTCTAAGAGTCATCATTGTAAGATTAAGCAAGACAGTATGAAAAAGGTGTCTAGTACAATGTTATATAAATGTCATTAAATCTAAACTCTACTGAAAATAGGTATTGAAATGGAGCACTTGTAGGACCTCACTTAAGTTAATATAAATACCTTTTTCAGGACCATTTCTATTACTTTTTCCTGAAGTCCTTGAATGGAAGGAAGAAGAATCATGGTTCTGGGCTGGAGGAGCAAACAGCGGTGGAATTCCCAGCAATGGTGGAAAGAAGGTCGCCCCTGTACGAGTATGAACATCTGTTGTTCGCCACCATTCTGCACCTCAAAACCAAACACCAAACAAACAAACAAAAGTAGGTGACTTAACTTTCTAGTTGATGTAACAATTCTTGTAATTTTCAAGTTTCATCTTGGAACAAAATTGCTGAATCACACATAGTTCTGATCATCTAACTATAAGATAGTTGATTAGATATTGTACACTCATCATTCCTCTCATTAAGATAATAAATATCCAAGGATCTTTACTTAGCAGCTCCTTGAGTTCAAGTTTATGAAGAATAAAGGTAGTCTATGGTTTTAAAAATAAAATGGAAAACTTGGAATATTAAAGAACTATTTGACTCTTTGATAACTTAAACCATAATTTTCAAAATTAGCAAAGAAACAATATTTAAGAATACACTAATCTATTTTAAAACCTTAGAATTTAAGTTACCATCTACAACCTATGTTAAGATTTTCTTCAAGTTACATACTAATAATTCTGGGTCTGATAAATCATAAATAATAATACAAAGACTGCTACTGTAAACCGGCATACCTCAAATGCATTTATGAAAGAAAATATTCTATACTCAAACAAAAACATAAAGATATCAAAATCAGCGTGGGTTTTTTTCTAAGAAATGAAAAGCATTCAAAGATTTCTAAAACAAGTCATATTAAAATATGAAAGGTTTATAAAATTCCTCTCCATAATTTTAATGAAGAAAACTTGGATTTTGTTTATATTTTCTCTCATAATTACAGATAACGATGATTGTTTTAATAATGTAAAATGACTCAATGATAGAAAATCATCAAATGCAATTTAAATGTTCAAACAGTGGCTCTTAGTTTAAACTTTTAGAAAAGGACAGAAGCCAAATTTTATAGAATATATTTTCCAAAAAGGGTGAAGAGTAAGAAGAGATTTGAAAATAATCCAAAAGAAAGTCTTGTATTACCCCATTTAAAATCTCAGAAATAATCTTTCCACTTGGCTAACCTGCCAGAGTAACAAATCATTGATTACCTTTGAGGCTAATCATCAAAGAGATATGATATATTTTTCTTTGATTGTAACTACCAGAAGGAAATTATAGAAAAAAAAACAATAATATAGTATAAGAAACATTCAATATTCGTCAGGGTATTGTGTGATCTTTAAATCTTTTGCAGGAATATCTCTTCATTAAAAATAGAATGTAATGCAATGTTCACTGTCATCATCAGATTTTGCCAAGTGAAATGTTCATGGTAGCTGCTATTCTAAAAGGTCTAAGAGACAGCATAAGCAGAAAACTGCAAAAACTATTCTTCCGCACTGCAGGAAGGCGCTGCTAGTGAAATGACACCAATGCATATTTAGCAGTGCCTGAATGACGGAAACTGAACCAAGAATAACTATACAAAGGCATTAATCATTTATCCATTGTTTAGATTAAAGAAGTGTATGTAGGTGGGAAGAAAAACTGTGTATTTGGAGCTTGTATCAGCACAGTTGCAATCTATTATTATTTATAGGTTTGAAACCTAGGTACCAGATAGATAATAAAAAGGGACTGAGGTTTCCTAAAGGTATTTATATTATTTAATATAGAGTCTATAATTAAAGCATTCCAGCTGAATGTATAGACTTTATAAATAACCAACAAATCAGTAAGGTAATCAAAGTATAAGATTCAAATACTTTAGATATAACCCCAGAAAAAAACATAACCATAACACTGTACTTTAGAGCATTACTATAAAATATGTACACAATGGGGAATAGAAAAAAAAATTGGAAAATGAATATGGTATATTTAAACTGACACTACAGGTAAAACAAACAAACAAACAAAAAAACAAACAAACAAGTAAATACAATAAATCAAATAAAAATATGAAGATGGTAATGCTTCTGACTAAACTTTGCAAATGTCTAATATTTCATAAGAAATAATATAATTTTTGTTAAGCGACAAGCTTATTTATCTTCCAAATTTAAGAAAATAGAAAGCAAATTTAGTCACTCACAAACTAGCTTGTTGATAAGATAAAATATACAAAATAGGGAGTACATAACCCAGCACATGATGAGTTTCCAAATGTATTTAAATGAGGTAACAGCATATTGGCAATATTAATCATACTCAACTGCAAGAGTTTAATATTTTAGATGATATTGAACCTAGAAAATATAGCAGACTTGTAAAATCTTTTGTACTTGATACAGCCAGATGCTTCACAGAATTCATGATGATACAAAAATATAATTATCAAAAATTATAAATATTTTAAAAGAGATTACTGTGAAATGCTATTTCAATATAAAAAAGAAATAATATCACACTAATATCCATGAAATTATTTTGCATCATTGATTCAATCATCTGAAATAAATTATTCCTTATTTAAAATTTCTAGTAATTTCTTCCTTGTGTGTCTTATTTTTTAAGGTGATTTCAAAAATCTGGCATTTAAATGATTACTCTTTTAAATAAAGGCGATTATAGAGAATTTAAATTTAAATTATACCAAATCTACAACTTGAAAAATGAGTCCTCTGGGTCTGGGCATAGTCTCTGTTCATTTGGCAAAAACAGTATGCTTATATAGACAATACTTTCACCATTAAAGACTGCTTGTAATTGTTTACCTACCTCCTAAAAACTGTAAACAACACATACAATGTGAGTGTATTCCTCAACACACAGAACATGACAGATGCTCAAAGAACTTTGTACAATAAATGAATGAGTGAATCGTCCAGGTAGGCTAGAGAAGTTATTAACTTTTTTTCTGTACAGTGGAAGTTATCAACAGTATTTAAATCCAGATGAGTAACTCTTTACAACCGATAACTATCATTTATCACTGTGATAAACTCTTCATTATCACTGGTAACTATCAGTGCAGATAGTATCTGATTTTAATAATATAATAATTATATCGTGGCTTAGTAATACTCAAAAGCTATGTATGGTATGATAATTTAAGTTACCATCTAAGAATTTCCTCAAATTACATAGCAGATAAATCTGGGTCTGATAACTACAATAAAATGATTTAAAAAAATTTAAGATAATTAGTAACTATATTCCTACTATCTATTTTGATTTTTGTTCAGAAATCCTAGATTTCAGCAAATATCTATTGAATTGATCATCTTGCTAAGCAACCATGCTAGAAACTGGCCAAAATAAATTCCTATCAGTATTTTTAAAGCAAATGCTAAAACTTAGTTTAATACTTCATTTTAACTTTGCAGTCACATTATCCCTCCCCTTCAGCTCCTCTCTCCCAAACAACTGAATTAAAGGAATAATATGACTCAAAAAACAGTACTTGAAATATACATCTAAACATCTTTCCATTCTGTATATAGTTAAAATGAGATACTTGTTTCCTTTTAAAGGAGCACTTGACAATTTATTACCCATTAAAGTGGGCAAGAGGAAATAATAATGATAACTACAATTATGTACTAACTATATATGCTAAACTTTTCAATCAGTACTGATATGGCTTATCCTTAATCTTTACAAGAACACTAAGAGGCAGGTACTATTATTTATCCTCATTTTTCAGATGAGAAAACTGAGGCAGAGTGGTCATATTACTTGTTCAAGGTAGCAGTCACATTTAAATTCAGGTCTATTTGTCTCTAGAATTATGCTCTAATTTTTAAGCTATTTTATGTAACACTAAACCATGCGTCCCTTACTAAAATTTATTAAAGTAAAATCAATCACCAGAAACACATTAAAGTTTAGACTTTCAAAATAACATAATGAGACAAATCATAGCATGTTTGTCCAATTTAAGCTTTAACTGATGTCCTACGGAGCTCCTGAATTCTCATCTATAGAATTGGGATAATTCTGGTCTTGCTGCTATGCAAGTGGTGCAAATCTATAGTTGTTCTTATCAAATATGGAAAAATATAGAAATTTAAGAGCCAAGTTCATCTTCCTTAGGAAGTGAGAACTCAAAATAAAAGTATAGATATATTGATTGTAAGAACTGGAATGTACTTTCCACTGTGAGTTAAATAATTTTTAAAAATCAAATAAAGCTGAGAAAAGTTCATCAAGCTCTACACTTAAGATATTTACACCTCCCTGCATGTTATATTTCAATAAAAGGCATGAGAAAAACATGGCCTAATTATTCACTTTTGTGGCAGATGCCCCCTTCTCTAAACACTTGAATATCTATAATTGCACTGCCACCTAGCACAAATCGTGTGGGGTTTTTTGCACATGGTAAATAGGACAGAGCCAATTCTTATACAAGAGTTTTAATATACCAGGCATTAGACTACTCTTTTTGTTCAATTTAATAAACAAATTACCGCTTGAACATTTTCAAGCTTTCCTCCTCTCCTTGAACACTGTTTGTAACAGATGTTTACCTGGAAAAGATGCTAGTTGGGGATGTGCGGCTAAGGCTGTGGGTGTACCAAGTGTCCCCAAACCACCAAATTCTGAATGCCCTGAGCTGGCTGAATGTAGACCAAAGACTGGGTGGCTGACCATTGGGAAGGCACTCGACACTGTGGACAGGTTAAACGGTTGATCCCCAGCTGCTCTGAATAAATGTCCTGGGAGGGAAAAAAACACACTTAAAGTTGTACTATAAAAACAGATGAGATTTATCTGATTTCAGCGTTCATAATTAAAATTTCTTATCCATTAAATTTCTATTTTACACTTTTTTCTTTCGTATTTTTGCTCTTCACACTCTATAGAATATTTCTAGAAATATTGAAGTACTCTAAATATCAAAATGAGTGGTATAACCTTATTTACTTTGAATTTGAGATTTGAAAAATAATGTTTCAGGTACATAATTTTCACTAATTATATAGTTTGACCTGCTGAAGTGAACTTTCTGTTAATGCATTACATTCTTAGCAAAATTTTACACTCATAAGAATGAAAATAAAAATGTTCTATTAACATAAGGTTGAAAACCAATGAAGTCAGTCCAGGATTTGTCACCAACCATTACTCAGATTCTCATACACTGTGGGCAAAGCATTCCCAGTTCCATGTACTAGAAGTGAAGCTATGGCCTCTGTCCAATACCTCTGAGGTGAGGAGTGTGCATACCAAAAACAGATTATATTTTGGCCTAATAAAGCAATGTAAAAGACAACGTAAAGATTTAATAAATAAACCTACTAAGATATTTCTAAATGCATCTAAGGGTGGTTATCAATATAAAAGTCATTTTGAACTTTGTGATGGAAAGATCATGTTCAATTCAAATGTGTGACTGTTCAATTTCCACTCTAAAGAGAATCTAGTTCTGAGTGTCATGATTCCAGTTTGAAATGTTACACAATCAAAACCATGACTTATTTTTCATATTTTGTAAGAGACATAGCAGGAAATTTGTTAATACTTGGAAACCTTCCTTTAACTTCCAGGAAATAATTAAGTTTCCTTGGCCTGATACTATGAAAACAGAATATCAAATCCCATACTCTAGGCTATTTTAAGAATTTACTGTGTAAAAGGTATTATTACGCTCTGTGTCAAAATAAGGGTAAGTCTTCCTTATTATCTCCTGCTTATACCATACCTAACTGTGTACTGCAATTTAGGTTTAACATAATACATTTGAGAAATGTAATTATGTAAGTTAAAAAAATAAATAAACTTTTGTTGTCATTTAGTTATCAAGGAAATATCTCCTCTGCTTTTTTTATTCCTGAAAACCAAGAGGAAGTCATCAAAAAGGTCAGAGTCCACCTTCAGAGATTAATATAAACTCTGTATTATTTACTGAAATAACACAACACTTTTTAACTGAAGTAGTAAGATTTAAATAAATTGCATCAACTATATCTTATATCAGCTTATCAGGTAAAAAGTTCCAATTGAGGGTGAATTTCCCATTATAACAACGCAGTAACTGGATCTCACGGGAAGATCCTCAAAGTGCCTTTGCAAGAAGGCCCACAAACAAACTGTAAGAGAGAGGACAAGGGAAGGACAGACTTGGGTATCCTTTCTAAGTCAGCCAATCTCTGTTTCTGTTCATCACAGCCTAAACAGAAATTTTGTGAATTTGGTACTTTTGTGTTATCAGAATTCTAGACCACATTAGCACTAAAGCTGAGTCAAAACAAAAATAGGGCGTACTATAAGAAAAGGTCATTCAAAATCACTAAGAGTAGCAACAGGTCACCAGAAAGATTGTGTAAATTTTTTTTTTTTTTTGCAAATTCTCAAAAACCCAGCTAGTTTCTCTAAAAAATGAACTGTAACATCAAGAACTAGTATTTATTTATTTTCACAGGTAAAATCACTGGTTCTTACCAATCATTTCAACTTCATCAATCAGATGCCCTTAATCAAATGTTTCATTTATAAACATACTATGATCAGTTACCTTTCCTTCTACATCAGTTTTCTTGATAAGCAAGTTAAACTAACCATTCCAGTTTGAGGATTTTAGAATCACTTTTCATTTATATTTTATAAAATAATAATTCTTAAATTATATTTGTCAACTCTATTTATGTAACAATGATTTAATATGAAAAAAATCTGTGGGGTAAACTCAAAACTACACAAATATTATAAAAATTCAGAACAGATTGAAATTATAAAGGGTCAGAAACTGCTCGAAATACTTTCATAACAGCTAATGAATTAGTAGTAAACATTCCTAGATGCATAGTTAAAAGATCAATTTTATTTTTGTGAAGAAGTAAATGAGCTAAATCTTGGAGTCTCGTGAACAGAAAACATGAACAATACTTAAATGAAGTTGTCACTCTTGCAGCAGTAATTAAGAACCAATCATACACAATTTGATAACAAAAATGTTCTTTTTTTTTTAACTCTAAAAAGAGTGGATAACTAGAAGGAAGTGAATCTAGAATTTTAACAAAATATGAGCTTCACTCACCATAGATTCAAATGGAAAAAAGAAAGCATAGCCCTGTACACAGAGTTACATTTATGCCCGGCAACATTACAAAGAAGCTAACTTATTCTATTTTTTTACTCTTTCTTGTAAAACTCTTGGTGAAGATAATTAAAGCATAGAAAACACCCAGGTGACAATGGAATCTTTAGGGTTTATTCCCTATTGGCCTATCACTTTTGTATTTAGTAAAAAACACTAGGACCACATTATAATGATTATAGTGATGCCATGCGTTATCAAAAATACACATTCGAGATTTCCTCTGCCATATATGGATACAGTTGTACACAGAAGGGAAATGATTTCATAATGCATTTCATATTTTTTACTGTATTTTGCCTTTATAGCAAGAATCTAGAAGTCAATGATATAAAAAATAGCCTTCTCATTAAAATCTCTTAACATTATATATAATTTCAGTATTGTTTTTGTACTACCTTTTAAAATACACAGATACTAATTCCATGTAAAAATCTTCCAGAATTATTCTGTTCTTTATTCAAAAGTTTCTGTAATTCAGGCATTTCATAAACATACCTATGAAGTGTCAGGTGCTATGTTTAGTATTTGGCATACAAGGAAGAATGAGACATAATCCCTGACCTCAAGAAACTCATAGTTGAACATAACTTAAATACTATTGAGCTATTTTTTATACCACATTGTCTAAAACAAGTTAATATTTCAATATTATTTAAACTGGTACTTTCATATATAGGAGCTAGTAATAGATTCCAAACACCCAAAAATGGTGTTTCATACAAAGTATACAGTAAATATCTGTTGAACAAATTAATTCACTACTCATGAAAAGTACATTCATGGGACTTATTTCAAAGACCTTCAATCAGAACAGGAAGTTCTGATGAATCATTTAAACTTACAAGTATACTTCCTAGCTTTCGTTTGCCTTACTTCACCAACCCCTGGTCCTGACTTTTTTTTTTTTTTTTTTTTTTTTTTTTTTTTTTTTTTTTTTGAATGTTTATTTATTTTTGAGAGAGAGACAGGGATTAGGGGCAGACAGAGAGGGAGACACAGAATCCAAAGCAGGCTCCAGACTCTGATCTGTCAGCATAGAGCCCAATGCGGGGCTCAAACCCACAAACCGTGAGATTATGACCTGAGCCAAAGTCGGACACTTAACCCTGACTTTTTTTTTTTTTTT